GCACCACCATCCCCCTGCAAACATCAGACATCATCCAGCACCGACATGAGCACGCAGTAGCAAAGTAGATCCTGAAACAATGCTGAAACAAAGAACGTTATTATGCCGCCATCCTGAAACAATGCGGAAACAAAGAACGTTATTATCCCCCCCCCCACCCCCACCCCCCACCCGCCACCCCGAAAAGAGCAAAAACGCACGACAGAAATCCATGCGCTAGCCCAAACATGCTGGAAAGCCTACGAACTCTGAAAAAAGACCTTCTGGGATCGATGGTTTGCGGGTGTAGGGTTTAGTGTTTAAGGTGAGCCCCAGCTAAGGTTCATTGAATGGGTGCTGTCATCGGTGGCCGGGGACCGAGTTGAGGGTAGCTGCCACGGGCTTTCACGCCGAGCAGTTCGTCGACCAACAGTTTTGGGTTGAATTCGGGCTTCCTTGACCCTAAAGCCCAAAGTGGCACCCTCAAGACCCGAAAGCCCCCGGCCGTTGAAGTAGGGATTTCCAGCGTAGCCGCTGCACAGGCCGCCGCCAAAGTTGTAGACCATCACCTCAGTCTATGGTCCTAAACCCTAAACCCTAAACCCCTAAACCCTAAACCCTAAACCCGAAACTTAGGATAGAGGGTTGGTTGAAGAGCAGGGAGTTTCCGGGATTGCAACCTTTCAGGGCTCCCGGTCTAGGGTCCTTCGAACGGAAACTTCGTTGCGCAGGATCCTAGAGGAACTCAAGGTTCACCTTTGGGATTCTGTAGGGGTTATAGTGCCCCACAAAGGTCAGGGTTTAGGGTTTTGGGTCTTGGGTTCAGGGTTCTACTAGTAAGAAAAATACACCGGGACATGCATGTGCGGTGGGAATCGGACAAGCTGCAGCTTCGCAAAACTGATGAAACCAAACGCCTGTAAACCTCCACCTCAACCCAAAAAATGCTGCTGAGGCAAGAAAAGGGTCCCAACACATGCACAATGCCGAAGAACCACCACAATCCTCTTGCAGGCCCCTGAACCTCAAGAAAAACAAGCAGCACCCGCAAGAAAGTCTCAACCAACCAGACTTCCTGACGTCCTAATACAGGGGCCTCAATAATTACCAATACTATTTTGCGGGTTCCTTAGTATAATAAGACTATAATGGGCACCAAAAACCCTATTCTAACTAATAAGGGACATATATTAACCTCAGGGTCCTTAGCCCTAAAGCCCCCAGTCCCTTAATTTTTTAACCCGGACCTGGAGCCCTCTAGTCTAGCCCAAACCCCATACAGCCATACATAAACCCCGACAAAACTCAAGGAATGCCGATACAAACACGACCAGCCAGATTGCAAAACCGATACCGGCGAACGCGCCAAAAAAAACAACAACAACCTTCAATCCTAAACCCCTAAGCCCGAAAAGTCCCCTTTAAGCAGAAAAAACCCTAAACCCTAAACCCTAAACCCAAAACCCTAAACCGAAGGACTCTTTGCTGCAGGGCACCGGCCGCTTCTCACCGTCTTTGGCCGCCGCGGGCCGCCAAAGGTTCCTGTGGGGCTTGGGGGGGTTAGGGGCGTAGGGTTGCTTTTTTTTTTAGGGCGTAGGGTTTGTTTTTTTTAGGGTTTAGGGTTTAGGGTTTAGGGGTTTGGGGTCTCCTTGAAATTTCGGAGTATGTCCTAAAATCGAACAAGCTATCTTTCCACCGTCTTAAGGTTTGGCTTCGGTTCGGCAGCTTGGTGACCTGATATTCTGCCTATGTCATTATGTGGTGTTGTTATATAGTTTCATTATTATTCCTGCTTAGTAAGGTATGTCCGCTTACAGCACCAGCTACCACAACGGACTCGAGTAGGTGTCGGGGCCTAGCAGTTCTTTGTTATTTGTGGTGTGGAATTTAGGGTTTATGAAGTGTCTGCTTCTGTTGACCCCAGGTTCGCAGCGCTTGCCAGATTATCGGAAGATCAAATCATGTTTATCCCAATGCCCTTGACTAAAACAAACCGAACTAAGTCCTCCGCGACCCCAATGTGCCGACACCCACTACTCCTACTCCCTTTCTGCAGGTCCCTGGCTCCGAAACCCCAACTTAACCCCGAACCACCCTATAGCCAACTTATAGATCCCGTATAGATCCCTTTAAACAAACCCGTCAAGGCTCCCGTGGAGGAAGCCCCCAGTAAGGTAGGGTTTTGAGGTATACTAGACTATCACTGTAAAGGGAAACCTCAGGGAATAGTCTTGGTAATTATTCAGGCTTCTCAACGTTAAATCCCAGGTTAAACCCTCCGGCCACTTCGCTTCCCTGAGCTTCCGGCAGCTGGAGGCAGTCCTCGCTGGGCGGCGGCGCATGGTCCTGGCCCAAGGAGTTTACAAAAGGGGTCGGGGACACAGTAAAAAGGGATCTGTAAGTGTTCTACCAGGGTTCTGTAAGGGCTACTGTAAGGGTTGGTATGCTTAAAGGATCAAGGGTCTTAGTAAATAGACCTGGATGTGCGGCTGCTATCAGCTACAAGTTAATAAGTGCTACCAGATTTACAACCTTACTGACTATGTCCTCAAGCGGATTTGGGCCAGGGGCGCCGTGTTTGACGAGGTAGAGTGCAAGTGCTGGCATGAGGCTAAAGGGCTGGGGATTCTTTGGGTAGAACCACTACGACAGTTCCCAAAACCCAAAGCAGGGCGTTTCCCCCTTCAGACTACATCCGAAAACGATGAAATTCTGTAGGCCCGTATCTCAGATCTTTCCGCAGGCCTGCGGATCAGGGCCTCAAGCCCCAGAACTTGCTTGATTACCATAGAAAAGGGCCGCAAGCCACAGAGCTCGCGAGAATTTAGGCTCAGTGTCTCGGAGTTTCCGGCTCACTTTGAGATTCCGGGTTTCAGGGCGCCCGAAGGTGAACAGAACCTGCACCAGAAGGGAGGATCACAAGTCTGCCTCTGTCCCCATGCCGAAATCCAACCTCAAAGGCGCAATCCCAAACTCTAAGCCCCACCCCAAACCCCCGCCACAAACCAAAAACACACCCCCACCCTAGATGTCCTCAAAGGACGTATAAACATACCCCAAAACTTCATTCTAGTTCTCCAGGCCCCAAGACTACAAACCCCCACTGGCAGTCCTCATCCAGCGGCACCGAGCGTGGATCCCCGAGCCTCTCAGCCGCTGAGGTTTTGGAAGTGCTTGAAGGGTTGAGCTTAGGCTTGGGGTATGGGGTTTGGGGGGTTAGGGGGTTGAGGGCTTAGGGATTTAGGGTTTTGGGTTTAGGGCCTTTAGGGTTTTGAGTTTAGGCTTGGGGTATGGGGTTCGGGAGGGCTAAGGGTTTCGAGTTTAGGGAAACGGGTTGAAGGTTGCGGGTTCAGGATTAAGGGTTCTGTCCGCAGCAGTACAGCATGCGCGCCGTGTGCCGACACAACACCTGACACTGTTGAGCCCTACACGGGGGCACTATGGCGGGTGGAGTGGAGTGGAGTATAAAATTAAGTTTAGGATTTTAAGGTTTAGGGTTTAGGGTTTAAGAACCAAGCCATGTCACGAGCTTAGGGTGGAGCGTTCAGGCTTCTATTGGGGGTTCAGGGTTCAGGGTTGAACCTTCACCGAAGCCCTTAGACCTTAAACCCTAGCTAGCCCGGGTGAGGGGGCTGCTTTAAGCGCAGGTAACGGTGGGGCTCATGATGTCTGACTCTTACAGTAAAGTTATCATAAGGAGCCTGTTAGGAATAATGTTGGAAACCAAGGAGGCTCCTGTGGATTAAGCATGCCGCAACCCTCTGCCCGACGAGCACTACCCAAGAAAGACCCTGAACCCCAAACATAGAGCCCAAAACACCTCAATCTTTGGAGTGTGCAACCTGTCATGAAACCCTGGAAGCCCATCTGTTTTGCGGGATCCCGTTTAAGACACCCGTCGCCCCAGATCCCCAACAGATCAGGATTCATATTGGGGAAACCCGAAACCCCAAACTTAACCTTAATTTAACTCTAGACTCTGCCCCTTGTAAACCCCAAACCCTAAACCCTAAACCCCTAGACCCTATACCAGACCCTTGAATCTTATCCCTGCCCTCTTTGGGCTCCTCCACTGCCATTGCGGCGAAACCCCAAAACCCTAAACCCGTAATGTAGGAACCGGACTAAGGAACTCTGGCCCTATAACCCCAATTATCAGGCTTCATTTGGGGGTTTCCGAAAAGAGGGGACCCGATTATAGTAGTCTAAATAGTACCCCAAAATGACGTGCCCCTGATGCTCGGAAACTCCCATATAAAGAACCCTCGCGCAGACCTCTGGGTTTCCTTAATCAGGTTCCAGAACCCTCATAGATCCCTTTCAAGAGACCCTTACAGTACTCTTTAAAGGAGCCCTAAACCCTTAACTCCCTAAGCCCTACACCCTCAAAGGAGCCCTTAAAGAAACCCCATGTAGAACCCTATAGTACCCTCTCAAGGAACCCTAAACCCTGCTTAAATTAGACCCCAAAGTGCGGTTGGGCCACGGGTTGTTGATGCACGGGGCGCCCAAGCGTCGGGCCTTCAGTTCGGGAGGTGTTGGGGTTCAGGGATTGAGATGTATACGGTCCAAGGCTCCTGGTCGAGGGTTTGGGGGGTTTGGTTTAGGGTCTAGGGGTTTAGGGTTTAGGGTTTAGGGTTTAGGGGTTTTGGGTTTAGGTTCAGGGGGTGTACCGTCCAGGGTTTGGGGTTGGGTCATTGGGGGTTTAGGGTTCAGGTTTAGGGGCTAAGGGGCCTAGGGGTTTAGGGCTTGGGTTTAGGGTCAAAGTGAGTGCGGAGTCCCGGATAGCTCGAGCATTCGGCATTTAGCATGCCGCAATCGCATATCCGTTTCTGAGTATAGACATTGCAATGTTTCTAAGTTTACAATGTATGTCTTTACCGCTTGGGGTTTGGATTCGAGAGAGCTCCGGGTTGTTCGTATAGTTTGCAGGATAGAGTGCGGGGCTTGGAAGTTGTATCACTTCTTGTGACGTTCAACATTCTCACGGCTCTGTTGCGGCCACTAACGGCTACTTCTGCTGCTCACACTCCTTTTGGTGCTATCGTCAAGCCAGGGTCATGGCATAGCCCATGAACCCCGCAGTACTCTCGAAAAATACCTGTAGGGCTGGCTTTGATGAAGCTACACTCTTCGTCGAACTTGCAGAAACATATACGGCAGCGACATTAGAGCGTAGATCCGAATCTGTATGCACTGGCACTGCCAGCAGTAGCAGCCGTAGCCGCAATACCTAAACCCTAAGCCCTAAAACCAGGAGGAGGGGGAGGAGGAGGAGGAAGCCTGTCCGGCTTTCAGAGACCCTTATGCTTGCCCGCTGATGGCCTCCCTCAATGTAAGCCCCTAATGAAGTAACGTCTCTCCCACAACAAGCATGACAAAAAAAGGGGATCCCATCAGCAGGGGTTTAGAAGCACGGAGTCCAATATAGGGGCCTTAATAACTTCAACAGGGTTTTGGTGTCCTAGTGAAGCAATGCCGAGCTTTAATGGGAAGGCGAAAATGCAAGCAACCAGAATCACTAAAATAACTGCCAGCACTATCACCATCACAGCCATCCTGTTGTCAGAAACATCATTACCACCATTGTAAACGCTATCGTCATCGCCACCCCAAACATATAATGGCTAATGGACACCATAAGGACGTATGACATAACAAGGAGCTATAACTTATATAAGTAGATACCACGACTTTGTTAACTTGTTATCGGCCGAGGGACATCGAGATGCCCTTGTGGCCAGGGGCCGTCACTCAGCACCGCCGCAGCGAAGCGCCGCTGACCGACCGGGGGCAGCGCATAGGGGATGCCGGCGAAGCGCTCCTGCAAAGGCAGTGGGGGATTAGGGTTTCGGGTGTAGGGTTTAGGGTTTTTTTAAGGGTTTGGGGTTGAGGTTTATTTTTTGAAGTGCAGTGAGGCAGATCTTACGATGAAGGACTAGGGTTCAGACTATAAGGCTTTTGAAGGTTAGGCGTTCGCCTTCGGACTTTGGGTTTCCAAGGCAGACAGAGATGTATGTGCAGTTGTGTACACAGATACGTGCATACATACATACGTTCTTAGGTAGGTACGCAGGTAGCTCAGTTGGCAGGGGGGAGATATGGAGGTAGAGCGGTAGGGAGGTAGGGCGGTAGGGAGGTAGGGAGGTTGGGAGGTAGGGAGGTAGGGAGGGCACCTCGGTCGGTTGGTTTACATACATACGTACGTACTTACATATATAATGCACATATAGAAACTTATGTGACAGTCGAAAGCAAACTCCAACCCAGATCCAAATCAGGGCAAGGCACCACTCCGGCAGCTGCTGTGATGCCCTCGGCGGTGCCCAGAGGTGTCTCCACAAGAGGCCCAGCCCCGGCCAGTGACCTAGGTAGGGCTTTTCTGGCATCGACACACGGAAAAGCAATGGGTTGGGATGGGTACAAATGATAAAACTTATTTTATACTAAGGTGCAGCACTGAATTCTGCACCACAGGTTGCTTCCGAATAAGGCAGAGCAAACACTTTTCACACAGAACACGTGCTTGGGCTGGGACAGCAGGCAGCCGATCGCCGCAAGCGAAAGTCCGCGACATTGCATGGTGCGAGGCATGTTTCTGAACAAAGTTGTGTGGACGTGCTGCGCCAACCATGGACCATGCAAAGCATTATGGAGTTGGTCGCAACCCGGCTGGTGCAAGCCTACCTAGCATAGACGGTGGATTTCTAGTGAGCAAGCCTCAATGCCTGAAGCTCCAGAGCAAATACACCACAGGAGGTGAGAAGCAGGCAAAATCGACGCATGCTACGAAAATCTCAACAGTTCTATCCCCGTTTTGGGGGAATCCGGAACCTGCCATCTTCTTCGTGTAGCCTCGAACATCAACAAGTTCCGCATACAGCCTCTACCGAGCAATCTGCAGGAAGTCTAGCGCCGAACGCTGCAACCTCAAAACTTGCCAAAGCCCATGTGGTCTACACTCGTAAGCCCAACAGCACATCGTAGCTCCAGAGACCACAGCGACCAGTCAAGCCTTTCAACCCGAAGAGTGCAACACTTCCTGTAGATATCGAGATACAGCAACAGGAAACCCTAAACCCTAAAATCCAAAAGCGTGAGATCCTTTTGGACATCAGCGATTGTGCCTTACAAGTTCCCCTAAACCCTAAACGCAGGGTCCTGCCACCCGCCAGACCCATGCGGCCTAGGCGCCCGAAGCCGCAAACGCCTGAAACCCTGCGAACCCTTCGACCCCCAATCCCCGAACCCTAAACTCCAAACCTTAAATGCTGAACCAAACCCTAAACTCTGAACCATAACTCTAAGCTTTAGACTCTAAAAATGCGAGGAAAAAAGCCTGGACCCAACAACTGGGTTTGGGGCGTAGGGTGTGGAAAACTCTGCTAGCAGACCCCAGACCTTAAAACCCTAACAGAAAGTATCGGACCTCTGAAGCACCTTATAACCCCCAACAATAAAACAAAGTCACGAAATCTGGAGCCCTAAACCGTTAAACCCTAAGCCCTACTTCATAACCCAAAACAGGGCCTCGAAATCTCTCATAGTACCTTCTGGAAACACTTCTAGAAACCCTATACTTTCTACATATGACTTATAACCTATAACCTTCAAAAAAACTCGAAATCTCTTCTACGACCTTAGGGAAGCCCTTCTAAAGCCTCCACAAAGTCTTATGACTAAGAAGCCACAGACAGAACCCGGAAATCTCATTATACTAACTTCTAGAAGCCTTTTACCGATTGCATATAACCTCAACAACCCTAAACCCTCAAAGCAAAACTCGGAAATCTCCCTCTCCCTGAGCCCTAAAACCCTAGAGCTTCAACTTCAAAAACGAAGCCTCGAACGTTTCCGAGCCTCGCCAAGGAGGGTCTCCAGCTTGTCCTTGCCCTCGCGGTCGCGGTTTGGCTCGAGCCGGCTCTGGAGCCAGACCAGGTAGCCTTCCGAAGCCAGGGCTCTCAGAATGAACAGGGTTCCTTTAAAGGGTTTAGGGTTTAGGGTTTAGGGTTTAGGAGGTAGCCTTCCGAAGCCGGGGCTTTCATAATAAGAACAGGGTTCCTTTAAAGGATCCCTTTTTAGGGTTTAGGGTTTAGGAGGTAGCCTTCCGAAGCCAGGGGTTCCTTTGCTGGGTCCCTTTTTAGGGTTTAAGTACTAGAAGGGTTACTATTCAGGTAGCCTTCCGAAACCAGGGCGGATTGGGGTTTAGAGTTTAGGGCGTAGGGAGGTAGCCTTCCCAAACCAGGGCTCTCATAATCAGAAGAGAAGAGGGTTCCTTTAAAGGGTCCCTTTTCAGGGTTCAGGTACTAGAAGGGCTAGTAATAAGGTAGCCTTCCGAAAGCCGCGGTTAGCGAGTTTTACGGCTTGTAACGATTTGAAAGAGGTTGTGAGTGGCGGGGTGCTGTCTTTGGCTTTTCATGAGGAGCTTCAAGAGGGCTTCGCTTCATGTTTGAAACGGTCCACGCCTGTTGTATGCCGCTTGCTACGTAGCCCCTGGTCCTTTAGTGTACACCCTGAAGGCCGTGTACGAAACCCAGGGGTTCTGAAACCGCGAGACCTTAAGCCCAAAGCCCTCAAGCCAGAAGCCTAAACTCTAAACATCTCTAGACCCTACACCTTGATCCCTGCACCCCAAGCACTGACTCCAAATTCCCCCAAAGCTGCACTTACTGAACGCAGAACTCTGAAGGCATATTTTCTGGGCCTTCCATGGCCCGGGCGTGCACCTGGACTGAGGGTTACCCTGAACTTTAACCCCTACGCCCTGAACCCGGAGGTTCAGGGCCTCAGGGCCTTGCTATTCTAATTATCAAGGCCCCTATATTAGCACCTTTATAGAAACCTTCTAGAGGCCCTTATAGATCCCTTCAAACAACCCTTTATGTCCGGGAGCTTAGAGTTAAGCGGAGAAAGTACTCCAGAGCCCTGCGGTTCTGGCACAATGACTACTAAGTGCTAACAGATGACTGCTGAACGGTTCAGGGTTCAGGGTTTAGGGTGTAGGGTTTAGGGTTTAGGCTTTGACTGTAGCAGCCCTAACCTACTGTAACCTACTTTTTTGGGAGGGTAGGGTTCCCACTATGTCTACATTAGCATTCGTATCAAAGCCAGACAAAGACTTAGAATCCCCCGCCCGAAACCTCGAATTCTAAACCCGAGTTCAAGTAGAAACCTCAACCGCAGAGACCCCTAAACCCTAAACCCGTGACAGCCCAAGGCGCATTATGCATAGCGAGGCCGTAGCACTGCGTTTCATGAAAGCCACGGGCCTGACAGGTCTATCGTTCTTATTCGGCTTAGGGTTTAGGGTTTAGGGTTTTGGATTTATGGTTCAGGGTTTTCGGTTTTGGGTTTAGGGTTGCGGACGGGGGGAGACAAGGTTTCATGCGGCAGACAGTTCAGGGCGCACAAGTACATTGGGCTCACGCTCTAGGTTCAGCGATGACATCTTCTCGTTGTACTGCAGCAGATGGTTCTGAATTCTTGAAGGAGTGAGGCTATCAGGGCCTTGTTGGGTTTCTCGGGAGTTAGCGAGTTTAACTATGCCTATTGCTATCTTAGTAAGCATAACTTTAGCTAAGGATACCTTACTTCGCAGAACTGTAGCTATAGCTACCTTACAAAGCCGAACTAGAACTATAGCTACAATAAGCCATAGCTACCTTACTAGGCCAGCCGTGGAATCTGTAAAAAAGCCCTGAACCCTTAAACCCTGAAGCCTAAACCCTGAACCCTAACCCCTGAACCCTAACCCTAAACCCTGAACCCTAAACCCTAAACCCTAAACCCTGAACCCTAAACCCTGAACCCTGAACCCTAATCGGTTAAGGGTTCCTCCAAGTAGGCCTCAGGGAACTCTGAGCTCTTGACCCTTCCGGGCTCCCTCCGCCTCAGGAACCCGCACACCTCTAAGCTTTCAAGCCCAAAATTTCAGGTTTAGGGTTTAGGGTTTCGGATTTCGGGTTTAGGATTTAGGGTTTAGGCTTTAGGGTTTCGGGTTTAGGGTAAACCCTACCTCATGATGTTTCTGCGAACACTGTAACAATAATAATTAGTATTATTGCTAGAGTACGATAGTAATCACCCTCCATCATCATGATGATCAGGTGCGAAAAACCCTAAACCATAGACCCGTAAACTCCTACACAACTACCCTCACCCTCCCTCAAGCCGGAAACGCCTAAACCCTAAACCCAAACCCTCTGAATCCAAAACAACCCTGAACTCCAAAAATCCAGAAATTCTAGAAACTGAAGGATTGTAGGAACCCTTAAAGATGATGGCTCCTTTCTAGGAACCCCCAAAGGAGCCATTGAAGCGCCATTCAACGAACGGAACCCTTAAAGATAACGGACCCTTTCGTTTGTCGAGCCCAGGCCTGTAAGCACAAGGCCTCGCTCTCCACCTGACTCGACGGTTTAGGGCTTTAGAGTTTAGGTTTTTTGTTTAGGGTTTTTTTTGGGGTGTGCTTCAGGGTTTAGGGCTTAGGGTTTTGGGGTTTTGGGTTTTAGGGTTTTCAGGGTTTTCGGGGCTTTTAGGGCTTAGGGTTTAGGGCTGAGGGTTTAGGGCTAGGGTGTAAGGCCAAGGGTTTGCAGGTTTTAGGGTTTGGGGTTAGGACTAAGGGTTTAGGGTTTAGGGCTTGGAGGCGATTGGATGGCTTATGGCTTTAGGGCTCCAACACAGCCAATCAAAGATGGGACCAGGTTCCTTTAAGGGTTCCTTTAAAGGTTCCTTTGAAGTGTCATTTGAGGGTTCCTGTGAGGGTTCCTTAAGGGCTCCTTTGAACCAGAGAACATGTAGACTCCCCCGTGCCGTGAGAGCCACCAAGGTTGTGATGAACCGGCAACTGTGCAATCCCTGTAAAGCCATGCGGACACGTGTAAGTCTGGCAAGAAGGAAGTAGCTTCAGCCCGAACCTCAAAACGCTCAACTCATAAACCACAACGATGCTACCTTCCTACGCCCCCAGCAGCCTAAACTGCCGCATTCCCGGACAGCCTATGAACACCAGGCTTGCTAGAACCCGAAACTCTCGAATCCGAACACCCTAAAGCCCCGAAGCCTAAAATGGGGGCCTGGTGCCATAAGCGACGATATTGTGCCGAGTGATGCGCTTGCAGGTGGAAGAGCGCCTCTCCGTCCAGTTCGTACGGATTTCTTCGGGTGTGTAGCGGGTACTACTGTTGTGTGCTCTTTCTTCTGCCTTCAGGTCGCGAATGCTACTGCTTCCTCCTGTTGCTGCTTCTACTTCTGCTGCTGCAGCTCCTCCTCATCCTCCTGCTGCTCCTACGCCTACTTGTGCTACCGCTGCTGCTCCTGCTGCTGCAGCTGCTATGCAAGGTAACTTGGTCCGCTTGGATAATGCTAGAAAGCAGCAACGATGCCTGCTCCTGGCCCATACCGCGATGGCGGGCGGCGAGAACCTGGCCACAACCCTCCAGGTGCGACTGAATACAAATAACGATACTTACGTGGCTACTTCAACTATCATCGGAGGGTGCCCATAGCTATGAGTGGGCACCAATATCATACGATCATACAGATAGCATAGTAAAAAGATGTATCAAGGGTAATCAGCCATGGAAGTAGTAGTTCATGGCAACAGACTGCCAGCTCGCCGCTGGATCCTGATTTCTTGCTTCAGATTCCAGGTTGCGGGTTTAGGGCGTGGGGTCTTTTTTTAAGGGTTTAGGGTTGAGGTAGGGTTTAGGGTTTGGGGTCTTTTTTAAAGGGTTTAGGGTTGAGGTAGGGTTTAGGGTTTAGGGTCTACTTGGAGGATCATGGGACTTAGTAACTAGGGTTATAAATGAGGTAACTATGATTATAACCCCAATTAGGGTACTTATATTATAACCTTACTTACTAAGTCCCATGACCCTCCAAGTAGGGGTTTTGGGTTTGGGCGTTCAGGGGTTTAGGGTCTAGGGTTTAGGGCTTCTAAATGCTTTTAAGGTTTACGGTTGAAGTTTAGGGGTTTTGGGTTTAAGGGGCTTGTAGCACTTGAGGCTTGGACCGCGGGATTTAGAGCAAAGGATGCGAAGCCTGGAGCTTCCAAGGAGGAGGCTCTAATGTAAAGCTTAGAATAGGGTTTTCGGGTACATCATAGTAGAAAGTATACTAAGGAATACTCGGTAATGATGTTGGTTAGGCTTCTACGTCAGTTGGGTTATCACTGGACTCAGTACCTATGGTTACCAGCACTTTGGCTGGGGTTCTGAGTCACCTGAATGTAGGTGCCTTAATAATTAGAATAGGGTTTTGGGGTATAGTATACTACAATTGTAGTAAGGACCCCCCGCCAAAAAAAAATAGTACAGGTATCGCGCTTTTGTAAAGCACTCAACCCCGAGAAAAGAGAGGCAACTACAGCACACTCACCATCAAGATTTTTACTGCGGGTTTAGGGTCTAGGGTTTAGGGCTTCTAAATGCTTTTAAGGTTTACGGTTGAATTTCAGGGGTTTTGGGTTTAAGGGGCTTTTAGCACTTGAGGCTTGGACCGCGGGATTTAGAGCAAAGGATGCGAAGCCTGGAGCTTCCAAGGAGGAGGCTCTAATGTAAAGCTTAGAATAGGGTTTTCGGGTACATCATAGTAGAAAGTATACTAAGGAATACTCGGTAATGATGTTGGTTAGGCTTCTACGTCAGTTGGGTTATCACTGGACTCAGTACCTATGGTTACCAGCACTTTGGCTGGGGTTCTGAGTCACCTGAATGTAGATGCCTTAATAATTAGAATAGGGTTTTGGGGTATATTATACTACAATTGTAGTAAGGACCCCCCAAAATAGCTACAAATTATTTAGGCCCCTACATTGCTTGTAGTCCTTTCCTGGTAGATCCCCAAGCGGGGTTTCTAGCACCGGGCTGTCATGCTCTTGAGCAGGTAGGACCGGTAGGAGCAGATCAATGTTTCGGATCAAGTACAAAGCCCGAATAAACCCTAAACCCTAAGCCCTAAACCGAAGAAGAAACCCTAAACCCCAAACCGTCAAGTCAAGAAAATCTGGTCTTTGTCAGAGTTCTTTATATGGATCCTAATATCTTGGGGATCTTGAGCCAGGGTGTCTGATTCAGGTTGCTACATTGGACTCTAGATAGAGGTTGGTGTTTGAGGTAACTTGGGCTTAAGGATTTTAGGGTTCATAGAAGGGGCAGGGATGGCATGGGCTGTCACCATCTGCCGGACCTAACGTAGGGGCCTTAATAATCACCTGTACTCTTTTTGGGGTTCCGTATTACAAATATAGTATAATGGGCCCCAAAACCCTATTCGAATTATTGCGGCCCCTATATTAGACGGAGCAATTAGCGTTGGATGAGTCTTCAAAGCCTGAAGCCATTGCTTGGAACTTATCTGAACTGATTTGCGTCCCTAAACCCTACACCCTAAACCCCTAAACCCTACACCCGGCTGAGGAGACTGGGAGACCTATAAGCTCTAAGCCAAGGGGGATGTTTTAGGCGCCTTAGCACAGGGTTGTGTTTGGCCACTTGGTCATTGCATCCAAAACTTGTAAACTCTTGAACCCTTCAACACTTGAAACCGTAAACCCTTAAACCCTTGAACCCTTGAACCCTCAAGCCCTTAAACCCTTGAACCCTCAAATCCTTCAAGCCCTTAAACCCTTAAACCCTTGAACCCTTCAACCCCCACCTCGAAAACCGGGAAGGCCCTCTCCATTTCCCGACCGACCTCCAGCATCACGGTGGCCGTAGGTCCGGCAGAGTCCTTCTTAGTGTTATGGTGTTCTTACATTTACAAACTTCCACAGGGCCTTGCTGTAGGGGCCTTAATAATTAGAATAGGGTTTTGGCCCCTTTGCAGTATATCTATAATCAGGAACCCGAACAATAAAACTCGTAATTATAGTATTCTTATAATAAGGAACCCTAACAAAAATATTCGTAATTATTTGGGCTTCTATGTTGGGCTCTGCAGGTTCGGAGTAGACTTGCGGTGGAGGGCTTAAGGTTCAGGGCTCCGCACGAACCCAAAAAACCGAATCCCCAAAGCAGAAAGAGCTTGGGAGGGGGGGGTTGCCTGCAGGAGCTCTGGGGTTCGGAAGATCCTAGACTACCCTAAACCTTAAACCACCCTAAACCCTAAACCCCATAAGTCCCACTCTCTAACCACAGGGCCCAGAACCCTGAACCCGGAAGCCACGCGCCTAAAACGTCAAGCTCTAAACGGCCCCGGGTCTTTGCTGCAGTCATAAGCCCCAACCGCAAAGGCCACTTTAAACCCTAAACCCCTAAACCCAAAACCCTAAATCCTAAATCCTGAACCCAATCCCCTAAACCCCAAACCCCAAACTTTATAGCCACGCTTTTAGAAACCGCCGTGTACTTACAATAACCTGTATAGAAAAAAGAAACCCGAAACCAAAACCCTGAAGCATCCAACATTGAGGCTTAAGTTTACTGGCTTGGGGCTTTAGGCTTTTGGGGGTTGGGAGGGTTTTGGGGCTTGGATTTGGGGGTTAGGCTTTGGCGTTTGGGGCTGTTGGAGGTTGAGTGGGGGGGGGTGTTGAGGCTTAGGGTGCAGCGTTGAGGGTACGTTGAAGTTTCATTGGTAAGTACAAGTATTGGTGTAACTAGCTGCTTAATCGGGGTATGAGTACTTAGAACTGTGCGCAGCTTGCCAAACGAACTTCAGTCACGAATGTTGACTCAGTGGGTAAACTCTGAATCCTGAACCCTAAAGCCTAATATAGGGGCCTTGATAATTAGAATAGGGTTTTGGTGTCCTCTATGCGACATTTAGACTAAGGAACCCCGAAATAGTATTGGTAATTATTCCGGCCCCTCTATCAAACCCTGAACCCCACACCCTCATCCCTGAAACTGCAAAATCGAAGAAATCCTGAACTCCCCAAAACAGGTTGAAGTTTGCCTGCTCTACTTTGTAGAACCCTTATAGATCCCCTGTAGAACCCCTATCGAACCCCATATCGAACCCTTTCAGTACCCTAGACCCTGAAACTACTAAGCAACTGTTCTGTAGCGGTTCTGCCTTGCTGGATGCGGCGGGGCCGCCGAGGCGCTGCGGAACCTCCGAGGCTTTGATTTTGGGAGTTTTGTGGTCTAGGGTTGAGTTTTTTTGCTTTTTCTAGGGCTCTTTTCCGTCTGCACGCGGGTACGGGCAGGGTTTAGGGCCTAGTTTAGGGTTTAGGGTTTGGTTTTGGAAGTTTGGGGGTTTGATTGGAGTTTGTGCGTTGTGGCTCTCGGGGTTATTAGGGTTTAATGGTTTAGGGTTCAGAGATCATGGACATGCAGCAGAGGAGCTAACCTGCTCTGGATACGCACAAATCATCACCACACCAACACAAGGGTCATCGTTATCATTGCCACCACCAGCCATCATCGTCATCATGATCACCATCTGAAGCACTGATATCGCCATGAGCATCGACAACAACCAGAAACAGTGGCAGCCGGCAGGAGCAGTTGAGACGCTTTCCTACCCCGTTGTCTATTCGTGCCCGTAGCAGCGAACGTTAACCCAGCGGATGGTACTCTAACGGAAAGTGAACGAAACCCTAAACACTAAAGGCAATCCGTAATCCTGGTCACAAGTGTTTGACCCCTAGTCTCGCCTCACGAACCATCAATACTAACACAGCCGAAGAACATCTAAACCTCAAGCATCCTACAGTAGAAGCCAGAAAGCTGGAACATTATTATCCTCATGCCCTTAAGGTAGAGTATAAGGAATCCTAGCACGAATCATACCAAATCCATGTTCCAACTTTCTGGGGTTCACTATAGGAACAAAAGCCCGGGTCCTTCCAGGCGAACCTTGCCAATGTGGACACGGCGGATAGTATGCAGATGTCCATTCAGACCGAAAGGACAGAAACGCAGTCAAGTATTCCTGGGGCACCATATCGCACTGAATACCCTCAACCCCAAACCTTCTACCCTAAACCCGAAACCCGAAACCCGGAAACCCTGAACCCTAAAGTACGAATTAAGCCCTAAACCCTGAACCCTACACCTGAAACCCTAGAACCCTAAAGCCGAAATCCTGAACCCTAAATATAGGGGCCTTAATGATTAGAAGAAGGGTTTCGGTGTATATTATACCATAACTACAATAAGGAACCCCCAAGATAGTATAGGTAGTTATTTAGGCCCCTGCATTATAAACCTGAAACCCAAAAAACTGACCAAGCCGGGAACCTGCAGGCGGTGGCTGACGGTGAAGACGGGGACCCGCGGGCGAGACCTGGAGACGTCGGGCTGCTCTAAGGCTTAAGACTTTTAGGGTTCAGGATTTAGGGCTTTTAGGGTTGAGGGTTTCGGGCTTAGGATCTTTAGGGTTTAGCGTTTACCCGTCAGGACTTTTAGGGCTTTGGGCTTAGGGGGCCCTTAAACCCTGAACTGCTTTCATGAAGCCGAGACGGAGACTGCGAAGTCGA